CACTCGTTCCTTTACATTCCATCCTTTATTTTCTTTCCATTCTTATTTTCCCTCTCCCAAACAATGCAATATACATACAACTGATTGTACGGTGTTTCCCGTACATGCACGGTAAGTCACATGTAACTGAATATTCATTTTCGAACAACTGGATACTCATTTCTGAGTAATAAATACTCATTTTTAAACATTAATTATGCTCGAAAATGAATATTTAATTACTCGAAAACAAGTATTCTGTTACTTGAAAACGACCATTTAGTTACTCGAAAATGAGTATTTATGATATAGGTACTCCCAAACTAAGGGTGGTTGAACACTCAATTAGGACCAAAGGAATGAAGAATTATGAATATATTGTTTCCCCATCACGCAATTGTTAGTTCCATGATGTTGGCTAATCTTTTGGCAAAATAGAATCTCATATTTGTTAGGTGTTTTACTAAGTAGAAACCTCTATTTGTTAGGAGAAGTTTATTTTATTTAGACTTCTAAAGTTGCTACAGTTTTCGAGGTTGACACAGAAGATGCTACAACACGATGCTGCAACACAGTGTGCGGGATCAGAGGTCTGAGCACAGGATTTTAAGCTGCAATCTGAATTAGAGACCTATTGGGATTGTGATTACATGATAATAACTCTAGTTGTACATGCTAAGGAATCTCAACTCTATAGGCTACTTGTGGATCAAGATTAAGGAAGTTGAGTTCAAGCCAAATTCTACTAACCTATTCCTATTAGGATTGTGTTAAGAGAAGCCTACAAAAATGCAACAGGTCCCCGAGAATTACTTGGAGCGATTGAGAGGGAAAACATAGAATATACGCTGATGTAGAGCATTCCTGTTGCGTCCCAGAGCTTCTCATGCGTGAAGGAAGTTACGATCTACATGAAGAAGGAGTCCTATAACGTAAAATAGATCGTGACAACCAAGAGATGAACCAGAGCTCAAGGAGAGGGCTGCTAACACGTTTGTCCTCGTGATCTCGGTGGAGATGTGATAGCCGAAGCGGATCTGTACAGGGTACGGGTTAGAAATAATAGATTAGAAGTTTTTTCATAACAATTCGGAGAAATGTGTCTCATCATGTTGTTATGTACCGCTGTAACTTGCATCTAGGGCTATTACACGGACGTGGGCCCCGCGAATTAGGAGAGTTTCTCCGAACTGCGTAAACATATCTGGTGTCATTTTTACGCATTTTATAGTTACAGTATTATGCCCAGTAGGCGCTGTAACACCCTCTGAGTCATCTGCTTCTGTGTGTACTTGTGACAGAGAAGTGTTATAGCACACTGTCTGTTATCTGTTATTGTGACAGAAATGCAGCATCTTCTCTACAGCATAGTTGACTGATTTGTTTGCATAGTTTCTTAATTGGCGATTTCCGCTGCGCCCCCACGAACTTACAGTAATAACAATGTTGTAAGTGGATGTAATATTCAACATAATCATACCTAAACAGTTTTTTTTAAAGAGATTTATTCATCTTGATTTTGATTATCCATTCACATAACTAGGGATGAAACTAATTTTGTCAACAATGTAATGAAAAAAATCAAATCATATCAATATGTGTGTCATGTTATCATGCAGTCATTAGTAATAATGTAATTGTTCAACAAAGTCGCGTTCAGATTTTGCATAACTTGATCTTCTCTTTCACCATCACATGTCGTGATGTCGAATAGGAGCCATTTATATACTCAAATATGAGAAATTTTTAAATTGGTAGTAAAATTTAAAATCAACTCTGCACTTACAACACAAAATCTTCTAAGTTGCCTATGTACTTGTTGGGGATTAAACACAACACACATAAAATAATTTACGAGGATCGAGAGAGAAATGGAACACAAATTATACATAAGAATTTAACGTGGTTCAGTTTCCCTAATTCATGGCTGCAACAGGAGAAATTGTATTTCACTTGTGGTGCCAAGGATTACAAGTACAAGATTTGTATATATAGAGAGAAACCTAGGGCTACGAAACTTGTTCCCTAAGAAACAAAGTCGGGCAAAAAAATAAGACGAACCAACCCTAGTTAGACCTGAACAAATATAGCCTCCACAAGTCGAACAATCTCGAACTTGGAGGCTTGATAACCATGAACTACCATCTACCATGAATGCTCGTACATCTGCAACAGGAGAAATGATAACCATGAACTACCATCTAGCCCTCTCATCATATACCTAATAGGCCCATTGAAGCTCCTTGGAGCTCCATCCTCCAACACACCGGTCACAGCTAAATCTACCTCTAACTCGTCTTCGGTCCCTACCAGCTCTCACTACCAACGAGAATTGCCGGGTCTTGGAACATCATGAGAACAAACACTCTCCATATTGAGCAAGAAATATTCTAGAGGCGTTTCAACAGCTAGAATACTGGTTCTCTTGACCCACTGCCGTCAAGGAACTCAGGCTGAAACACGACTTATGCTTCACCTGCCATAAGCTCCTCTGACTGGTCTCCCTAAACCTTTCCTCGATCGTTCATCCCGAGTCTGACTTGTGGCTCGGTTTCTCTCTTGCAAACACAACCTTTGTCTGGCCACGAGATTTTGTACACTAGACTTTGTTTATCTTCTGAACGAGGGCAGTCATTCCCTTAATCAATAACTCGGCCATATACAGTGAACCTTTCTTCTTTTTGTGGGCCATAACAAGATTTCCCTTTAAGACCTTTCACTACCCATTTTCGAACTTCACCTCGTGTCTATGTTCGTCCAACTGATTGACAGAATCAAACTTTTCTTCAAGGCTGGAACCACTCTGACATCGTTCAAAGTCCAAAAACCGTCTGGGTCTGTAACACCATGTCACCCATGTCCGTCACATCAAGAGTTCTATCGTCCTCTAGTTGTACCTTTCCAAAGTCCCTAGTTACCAGATTTTGCAATGCTTCACTACTCTAGGTAGCATGAAATGAAACACCAGAATCCATGACATAAGAATCCACATTGCTCTCCGCACAACAGATAAGAAGATCATTCACGGAGCCTTCTATAATATCCACTTGTTTGTCTTTCAGGCATTAATTCCTAAAATGCCTTACATCCATGCACTTCCAGCACGTTACATCTGAGCTATCTCGAGTCTTTGATTGACTCCTCTCTGATCAAAAGTGAATCCATTAGGTCCCACTGAACTGGTAACAATTGTAACAGTTCTGGACCAACTGTCAGGCAACCGCGATAGTAATAGTAAAGCTTAAACTTCATCATCAAACTTAATGCCCACTGACAAAAGTTTGGTCAATATCGAATTCAATTTATTGATGTGCTCGACAACTAAAGTGTTTTCCTTCATCTTCGTATTCACAAACTCTCTAATCAGAAAAACTCTGTTCGCAGCAGATGCCTTCTCGTACATATTAGACAACACTTATAAATCCTACTTATAATTTCCTCTGTTGTCTACTCCTTCAGAACATTGAACGCAACATTCTTGGTCAACGAGAGACGGATCACGGACAAAGATTTTTGATAACTGCTCAATGTGCATCCGACATCTTTTCTAGGGTTGTCACCCAGTACCACATCCAAATTTTTCTGAACTAGCAAATCCTTAATTTTCATCTTCCACCAATTAAAATCTGTACTATCGAACTTCTCAATTCGGGACTTCTCGTCATCTGCCATCTCAAACGACTAGACAAGATACCTGGTACAACTAATTTCAGATCTTGGTGATTTCTTGAAAAAATCAAGCCCACCAATTAATTTGACCCAATTTATCGAACAAGCTCAATGGCCAACCCAAAGGACAAAACAAATGACAGACTACTTGAAAATCAATCGGCCTACTGCCCTTTTTCTTTTCCCTTTTTTTGCGGCTGAGGCTTCGTAAGGGCTGTTCTCTCAAGACGATCTTGTCGGTGGCGACACAATCTGGATGTCAATCTGCACTAGAGAGTGGCGGCGGCTCGACAAACCATAGTTGTACACTTTCCATTGGCACAAAATGTAAGCACAAGACTAGCATTATGTCAGTGTTGCAAAGTCTTATTGTACAAAATGGTGTACTAACGTAGTGTACAAATAACAATATTGAAGAAATAATATTTAATTAATTGTACAAAATGGTGTATTTAGCCTTACTAAACAAAATGGTGTACAAATATAGTGTACAAGTAGCATTATTGGAAAACAAATATTTAATGTAGTGTAAGACAAAGAAGACAAGACACCAAAAAATAATTCATCAAAAAAATGAATTGTCAGTCTATATTTAATACTCCTTCCCTCCCACAAAACCATTCTGGTTTTGTTCTTTTAAATAATTTAAGGGAGTGTATTTTAATATTAACTTTCTAAAAGTACTCTTGAATGTGATATGTAAAAAATAAGATTTGATGAGTGATTAATAGTGAAAAAATGTGATGCGATAGGTAGGCTAAGAATTTACTGAGATAAAAGTAATTTTTTAATAAAAATAAGAAAGGTTTGTTGGAACAGATTAAAAAAAGGAGAAAGGTTTTGTGAGATGGAGGGAGTATTTCATTATCATAAAATCAACTCTGAAGAAATAAATAATATACTTTTTTCAACATTTCAAAATAATAAAAAAAATAATTGATATTAATACAATTATAATTAATATTAATGTACATGTTATCATCAATTAAAATTTCATTATAATAGAACAAACTTTGAATAAACAAATAATAAATTGTTTTTTCAACAACAACAAAAAAACCAGTGTAGTCTCACACATAGTAGGGTCTAGGGAGGGTGCGCGTATACATATCTTACCTCTACACAAAAATAGGGAGACAGTTTCCAAGAAACTCCCAGCTAAAGTATAATCACATTAAGAGCACGGACAAAGTAGTAGCAAAGAGCAAACGAAGGGCAAAGAAGAGCACACAAACTAACACTAGCAATTAGATTTTGTGCACGGAGAACACACAAAGGCGAGCAAAAATGCATTCGCAAAGGACTACAAGTAATACCTCGAAGTCCACCCAACTACTCTAGTTCTAGATCTCTATACGTACCTATCTAAGGTCATCTCTTTGGGGAGAGCGAGAAGTCTCAAGTCTTATCTCCTTCCAATTCTTTCTAGATACACCCCTACCTCTACTCCCTCCTAATACCGAAGCAAGCTTCCACTTTGCCCAACCAATTTTGATGCGATGAACAACATCCCACCTATCTCTCCATGTGCATGAATGACCAAACTAAGATATTGAAACTTGTGCTTCAAAGGCACTGAGTGTGAATCAATCCTTACCTCCACTTCTAATTCCATCACCTGACCCCAAGGCAACATTTCATGTATTTAGTTTTAATCCTATCCAATCAGAAGTCTTTAAATTCCTTGGGAATGACATCACATTTCTAATGTGTCATTGAGTTCCGTATGCATCTCGTCGATCAATGCAATACCATCACTAAATAGCATACACCAAGGCACCTCTCCCTTAACATCCTGCAACAAAACATCCAGAACAAAAGCAAACAGAAAGAAACTAAAGGCAGAAGCTTGATATAATCACGTCTTTACCAGGAATGGGTGAGAATTACCCCTGATAGTCATTGCCTTGGTCCTCACCTCGACATGCATATTTTGGTTTCAAGAATGTATGCAATCAGACCCCCTCTGAACTCTAGACACCTCCATAAGATCTCAATAGTTCTTTTGCATCTTGTCGTACACTTTTCTCAGGTCAATATATACCGCATGTATGTTCTTCTTAGTCCTATATTCTTCATCAACCTCTACAAGAGGCGAATAGCCTCCATAATTGACTAGACAAGCAACAAATCAAATTGATTCTTGAAAAGGCACACCTTCTTTCACAACCTAACCTCAATGATGTAGTTAGTTCCATGTCATGCACAATTATTGTAATCATAGTTGACATTATTTTTTGACAAATAAATAGCTTCATTCAGAATATATTATAGTTGCTTTAGAGAAACTTAAGCAGCTTGTCTGTCACCCAGCAAAGACTAGCGTCATTCATATTCCCCGGTCCAAAAGACCTTATCCGACTAGGAGTTTTACAGTTATATAAGTTGTTTGATTTCAGAGGCTTTGAGTTGGAAGTGCGCAATTAATTTAGAGTTAATTATTCATTGCATAAGGCCAAGTGTGCGTAGAAAAATAAGCTTAAAGTTAGAATCCTATTCCTACGCCAAGTACTAGAACTCCTAGTTCTATCAGTCCTATTAAATTATCCATGTACATGCTCTATATTGCTTTCATCATCAGTTTTGCTCTTAATCACATAATGGCTAAATACCTTATTTATAAGAAGGTAATGTGTCATTTAAGAATGAACATGACTCTTATAAGAGTCATGCTCATTTATTTTAAAGTTTTCAATTTGAATTCAAAATTAATCTCCAATGGCTATGTCATTTAAGAATGAACATGTTTTTTGTAAGGTTTACATGCAATTATTTCAAATTTAGAATTCAAAATAACTCCCCCCCAACAGGGATGGGGCATAATTTAATAGGACTAACCTAATCGATTTTCATTTAATCCCATATTTCGATGCAAGTGTTATCATTGCATCCTTAAACTGTGCCTCAAACTAAACACATCACCACGGCTTAGGCGCTTCTTCCTATACCTCCAAGCCACTTGGATGCACCTAGCAGCAAGTGTACGCCAATATGGCGATTTATACCTGCAAGTAGTGTGTATGACGGTGAGGGTAATAGAAGAAATGCCACCAATCTCTCTCTCTCTCTCTCTCTCTCTCACACACACACACACACACACAGAAATGATTAAATAAAAAAGCCAATGCAGCTTTGTTTATGAGCATAATTATTGTTGTTGTTCCAATTATTATTATTATTATTATTATTATTATTATTATTTATAGTGTTACGGAGTATTATTTATTATTATTATTATTATTATTATTATTTATAGTATTACGGAGTATTATTATTATTATTATTATTATTATTATTATTATTATTATTATTATTATTATTATACCTGATGGCACCCTGAACACGCGGGTTCCTCAAAAATCTTGCAAAGAGAGAAATGACTTCTTCGAGATCTGCTTCCCGCAATATAAATGCTTCAACATTTGTCAGGCACTTCACAATCCGGTTACTCAGGAGCCTGTGTCCATAAGTCCTCGACTTCATTCCATCTTGAATGAATCGCGTGCACACACACACACACACACAAACATAGTTAATTGTCTCATAGTGGTTCCCCATTTTGACAGAAGTTAATCGACCAAACAAAATTCTAGGAAATTTTACTACCTTTGTACAAGGAAGACTGTTCTAGACACCATGTGAGGAGTTCTTCCCCACAAGCATTACCTTCAGCCAGCAACGCCACATTTCCATCCTCTCCAGTGCTCTCCATCTTTCCCCTGATGATGAATACCATCTTGTCAATAAGGCCACCTCGGTACAAAACTCTGCTTCCTTCTATATATGTTGTTTGCCTTAGTCTTTCACATATGGCATCTAACACTGGCTCATCTAGAAGTGATAAAATGTAAACCTGCAAATCATCAACACTCACATAACAAATAAAGAAATCCACAATAGCAATATTTGAAATTAATGATCCCATAAATTAAAAACATGCTCTATTTCCGGAAAACAAAATAAGTTACTAACTTCCAATATATTTTTGGGCAATGGCCATCTGAAAATATAGGTGCCGACTTCTCATTAGGCATTCTATGCAGTGGGCCAGGGCACAGTAAGGCCCCTTGGCAATCCACTACACCCTCCAATTAAGAGCAGTAATATGTAGTTTGATGGTGAGAACCACAATCACTTAATATTTGTATAAAATCAAAGTCACGATTATAATGAGAGGAACGAATCTAAACTTATACCAAAGCGATTGATGGGGAATGCTGTAAACTAGCTCACCTTCTTGACAAACATAAAAAGATGTCTCCGAATATCTCTTTTTACATCTTCAGGTAGGTTCTCCAACAGCACTTCTTCATTCACCCCTCGGGTAGCTGCCCAAGTATAGCGTTCAGCTTGACGTACTCGCCTACCAGGGTGGGAAGGATGAATATCCCATTCATTTTTCACTCAAAGCACAACGTTTCATCCACTACATGGAAATTTTTAGTAGATACCTTCTTAAATCTTCTGGCAAGCGCCGGTGGCTCATCCACTTCTCAATATCACGGCGCCTCAGTGACATTTCCAACTGCCTATGGACAACACAGATGAGAAATGCAAAAAATTATAAAGGTGAGTACATGAAAGGGCAAGTCTATCTACAATGATGACATACTATCTTATATTATACTCAGTATGAACACTGTATAGCATACTGGACCTTAATTCACTATTCTTGAAAATACGCATCCATGAAAAAGTAGTTATAACCAACACAGAAACACCACTATGTATCTTGCTGATATAGAAATTTATTGATTGTGTTTTGTTTTTCTTTTGCAGTGTTAGCTATTTTCCATTGCCACTCTTTTACATTTTTAATTTCTTGCGAAGAGCGCTTGCATCCACCAAATGATCCACAACCCTCAAAATTGGATGTCTTAGCTTCATTGAAAGTTGTAATCAATTTATACTTCCTCTCTACCAAATTAAACTTTACATATTAAACTTTACATTTCCTTTTAAAGAAAGAATTGTGGCTCATATTATTTCTCTCTCGTCTCCATAAATCTCAACCACACAATATCACATTATTTGACTCCGTGCAAAAAGCAAATAGAAAATTTAATTTGGGACGGAGGGAGTACAGTACATAATAGGACTACGTGCCCTTCTTAGTGAAGCAAAGTGGATGATTAGTAGGGGAAGAAACAATAACACAACAGATATAATACAGCTCCTTAACAGCTTAGGATGCCTCTTGGTATTTATTTTCTTTTTCAAGAAAATACAGTACTTTTTCACAATGGTTGTCCCATTTAGGATGGATCTTTGTTGCAATAATGTAAAATGGGCAGAAATTTTCTGGGTCGCCCACATTGTGTATCCATATTTAGTCTGCACATATTTTGTCCATATAAAAAAACTGGAATGTTTTGATTTAATCTCTTACTCCCCTATCGCGATGTGTTTGTCTACTCTTACCTTTTGGGCTGTCCCATTGTGTTTGTCCACTTACCGTTTGTGCCAAAGAAATTAATGCCACATCGACTCCTTTTCCCCCCAGACCCCACCCCTCAAAAAAAACTCAACACCACTTCATAAATGGCCCTCCATGAAGGGAATTTCAGTCCTTTTTCCTTTTTATCATCATTTTCTTGGTCCATGTGCGAAAACACAAGTGGAGAAACACATTGGGGTGGGATACTTATTACACCTATATTTTACCACATACATTCTATTCATCCCACCATATGCTATCCAAAAAGTAGGAGAGTGGGATATTTATTACACCTATATTTTACCACATACATTCTATTCATCCCACCATCTGCTATCCAAAAACTAAGAGTTGTACCTGCTTCCAAGAGATTGTAGAAAGTTTTGCATATTTCCAATGAGCAGAGCAAAAAGTAGGAGTCCTAGTCCAACAATGCCCATAGTGAAAAGAACTTCCCACTCAAAATAACTTGGGACAAGATTCCCAGCCAGTGTGCTTATTTGCTGACCATCAACAAATGATCAAAATCAGGTGGATAAGAATCATGTTTTCGACAAAAGTGCAATGTTTAGAATTACAAAAGAAATGAAATAAGAACGACCAGATTTTTCCAAATCCAAGAAGAGACCAAAGTTTAACCCCAGAAAATAATTTGACCATGAATAGAACAAATGAAACTCGGGGTTCTAAATTATGTTTAGATTGAAATTTGTGTACAACCGCTACAAACATTTGAGTCACACATATTTGCTCTAGATACTTACGTCTTATCTGATTGAAGTATTGAGTGTTTTGGTATACCTCGACATAACTTCATGGATTTTCGGAGGGCCGAGTGAATCGGGTGGAGTGTCTGGTGAGATTGACCACATTTTTATATAAATTTCGGATCCACTTTCTAACCAAAATCTTAAGCTAATGGGTAGAGATTCGCCTTTCTTTATATGGGAGTGTGATATTATTTTTTATTATCCGGTGTGGGATACACACGGACTCCCAACACCCCCCACAAGTGGTAACTAGCATGGTCTAGTTACTACTTGGATGAATGGGTCTAGCAACTCAATCTTTTTATAGCTAGCTCAAAGGATTGACCACTTTCCCAGATAAAGTCTGGATCCACTTTCTAACAAAAGCTTAAGCTAATGGGTAGAGCTTCACCTTTCTTTATATGGGAGTGATATAAATTTTTATTATCTGGTGTGGGGGATACACACGGACTCCCAACAATCTAAAAGCATGTTTCACGCGATTCATTAAGTCTATCAAGTCTTCTTCAGGTTCATCTATGCCAATTCATTCTAACGCTGCCTCCCCCCTAGTTTTCCAGAAGTATCCAAAAGGGGCATCATCCATCAATTGGAAATCCAGCCCAACCAGCATCCTAGTAATCCACAATATTGCAATGGTTCACGACTTTAGGTGTTTGTAAAGTAGGTCCTATCATGGCATATTCTTCTTGTACCTTAGGGACTTGAATAACAGCATCACGATGACTGCCACACGGTTTATCAAGAAATTGGTTACGAGCTCACTATAAATGAAACATATGGCATTATCACCCTTATGATTGTGACATTATTCAGTTTGCCAACCAGCCTTCTGTATTTCTCCCTATGGGGCTGGGTACTAGGTAGTGGCTCCCTCTGTTCTAATTGGAGTTTGACATTCAAACCGATAGGTGATAGGTGTTTCTACTTCAATATACTTTTTCCCTCAAGAATATCCAAGACACGTTTACTATGACATATCAACACCTTTGTCAGACTGTGCAACCTCAATACTCAGCTTTACATAAGTCCTTAGTTTGGAAATTGTGAAACACAAATTCCTTGAGTTGAGTAATGCCCTACACATCATTACCTGTAATAACAATTTCATTAACATATGCTTTCAAAATACACTTACCTATGGATTGTTGATGGAATACAGAACAATCAAAATCAATTTTAAACATGCCAAATCCACAAGCGACAAAACCCAGTGGTTACTCCTATAAGACCTATTCGTGTAGATCACCATAAAGAAAAGTATCCAACTGGAACAATGGCTAGTGGCACATCTGTCATGAACAAAATCAGTTGAAGACATACAATCTGAGCATATGATTTAAATAATCTGTTTGATCCAAATTATATTTGGATGTACTCTTTTTTAACCAGACCTGATGTGAGATGATCACATTTACCATTAGGTCCAACCTTCATAGTAAGGGGGACCATTCCCACATCCCACAGAAATGCAGAGGCTCCAACTCAGTCAACATAGCCTGTAGCCACTCTAGATGACAAAGTGCCTCACGGGTAGTAATAGGATTATGCATGTCGAATAGGTGCCAAATAAATGCATAATAGGGGTGGAAACACTATGATAGCTGAGAAAGTTGTGCAGAGTGAAGCTAAAAGTGGAATATATAACTTTCTGCGGGCTATGGATAGTTCCTCAGTAGTAACATCTTGCTCTACGTTAGCCAGTTGTGGTTTCGGATTCATAGCAGAGGAGTCATTGAGAAGCAGCATCCAGAGCCACGACAAGGGTAAGACAAGGACCAACGGTAAACTTAGAAATATTTATATGGGTTTTGGGTTGGACTTCATGTGTTACCTCTGGGCTTTGGGGGACCAGCAATTTAAGTGAAGATAGGTCATAGTTATTGAATGAAGTCAGAAAGAGTTGATGACTAAATAAAGGTTACACTGGCTGAAACACAATGCCACCTTTGTACCATGGAATAACAACGATCTCTTTTGAAGGAGTGCATACCCAAGAAAAATAAATTTTACGGATTGGGCGGACAGTTTAAGATGACCTCATGCTGTGTCAGAAGCACAACAAAACACTCAAGACACAAGGCGGTAAAGGATTGAACCCATGTCTAGCAAATAAGAAAGAGTAAGGAGTATAGTTTACATCTATAAAAAAGCTTGGTGCATATACTCTGTATGCTCGAGCTTGAGAGGGGGTGTAGAGAATTTCTATATAAAAATGAATCCAGAAGCATGACATCATCCTTGTGACATCATCTTTTATAATGTCATTGGACTGACCTTGAACGACGTAGATCGAAAAAATAGAATTGTTTACTCCATGCAGTGTGGCGTTGCATATGAGTGTCTGTGCAGGTCCTCTGGTGGTGTTTTTTATGGTGACTTGCGACGAGGAGACATATCCAATGGCGGGTTCAGCTTTGATGGACCATAACTAGAAAATTATACATCAACAAGGTATGTGAGCTTACCCCTACCAATAAGGGTAAAGAGACAGGTTTCCAAAAGACCCCAGCTCACACAAGGGCATGTGGGACAAGTTCGAATAGTTCAAGCAGGAAAGTGAAGGTAAAACAAACATGTAGTGCAAGAACGAGGAAAAAATATATAACCCGACAGATAAAAGAAAACCAAGAATCTACTCTAACAGACTAGCTAACTCCTAGAACTGGAGTCGGCCAGCAAGAGAAGCTGCCTAGCAACCCGACTACCCTACAACTCTATAATCCTTAATATCTAAGCTCTCCTATCTAAGGTCATGTCCTCAGTCCTCACAGCTTCTGCTGGTAATGTCTAATCACCGCACTTGACCCCTTTTTCGGCCTACCTTTCCTCAAATTCCCTACCACCATCCTTTTACACCTTCTCACCGGGGGCATCGATACTCCTCAAATACCCTACCACCAACCTCTTGCACATCATCACCTAGGCATCGGTACTCCACCAGCCTACTAAAGAATAATACTCGTCGGAAAACTAGTATTTAGTATTCATGTAGGAACTATTCATTAGGGGAAAATTATTAGATCGGATACCATGCATAGGATGTCTCTAATCCTTTGAATGTAGAGGTGGGGTTACATGAGGGGTCTGCCCTCAGTTGCTTCCTGTTTGACTGGTGACGGATGTTCTATTGCAGGGTGTCCAAGGGGAGGTCCCTTGGAGCATGCTTTTTATTTATGATGAGATAAGTGATTAGAATAGAATAGATTGAATAAATCTCATGTCCCTTGTTGATACCATGCTTAGTAATTAGAATAGAATGAATTAATCTCATGATGCTTAAGAGGATATACAAGGTTTCTCCATAACAAATGCTACTCCTAAGTCAGTCCAATGACATCATAAGGAGTATGTCATGCTTTTAGATTCCTACTTTGCAACAACTCTCCACAAAGGTGTTTCAACGATAGTTTCCTCCCCACATTTCCCATACCCTTTTGTACAAATATATCATTGAGAAAAGCAGGTGTTAATTGAAAAAAAACATAACACACTCAGTTATTTGATGGGCCAAATAGCACCAATACCCCGTGGTTTGGAAAATAGGCACCAATACCCTCTGTTTTCAAAACTTATTTCAAAAGTCCCCGTGGTTTCAAAACGTTGCATCCATACCCCCTCTGATCATTTTCTAGCCATTTTCCCGGTGAAGAGGGGGGCATTGGTGCCTATTTTCCAAGCCATAGGGGGCACTGCCGCACTGGTACTCATTTCTTATTTTTCATTTATTTTTGTTTTTCTCATTTTTTTCCTTTATTTTTTAATCAAGGTTTATTAAATTTCTTTTTAAAATAAAAAAGTACATCTAAAATTAACAATTTTTATTTTTTGTTTTCTGAAATAAAAAAAGTAAAAACTCTTTTTTGAAAACTTCAAAAAAATAAGGAATAAAATAAGAAATAAAATAAAACAAAAAATAAAAATCAATATCCTTTTTAGCCATCCCAATTCTAAGGTCTTTTTTAGCGTTCTGAAAATTCCTTTTTGTATAAGATTCTTTTTTGCATGTTTTGATTTTTCTCATTTCATTTTTTCATATTTTTATTTTTATTTTTTATTCTAGATGTTCTTTATGAACTTACCAAAAAAATTATTCTAAAAAACAAAAAGTGAAAATGCTTAATTTGAGATAGATGGAGTATATGTTGATTTTTTATTTTTATTTCTGTTCCAAACACAAAGAATTTTGAATTTTTAAAAATATTATAAAAAATGAAAATAAGTTTTAAAAACATTTCTAGGAAAAGGAAACAAATAGATAAAAAAGGAAAAAAAAGAAATAATAAACGAAAAATAAGAAATGAGCACAAGTGCCCCCTATAGTTTAGAAAATAGACACCAATACCCCCTCTTCGCCGGAAAATGACTGGAAAATGATCAGAGGGGATGTGGGTGCAACATTTTGAAACCATGGGGACTTTAAAAATAAGTTCTGAAAACATAGGGGATATTGGTGCCAATTTTCCAAACCACAGGGGGCGCTAGAGCTATTTGGCCGTTATTTGATGATATAAACACATTTCCATTTGTTTTTCTACTTTTGGAACAGAAGTGGCCCTAGAAATAAACTGCGAACTTTCCTCCAAGTTAATGGGTAGAATAAACTACAGAGGTTTCCTAATAAAGTTGTTCTCTCATGTTACTGCACAAGTGTATAAAGTATACAATTGATAAAATCAATTTTATAATAATAATGACTATAACTAATCATTTTATAAGAGGTTAGGAATGCTCTACTTATTTGATAAATATTACGGAGTATGAGATGATCACAAAAACGAGTATTATCATGATGAAAACTATCCGTTTCCAAATACCTGGAAGCCCCAGGACAGTGAGTACACATATCTTGTAACTAAGCTTTGCTTGGTTGTGAGGTTGACTGCTGAACCATATATTCCATACTCAAAACCATCACTACTAAAACAAGCAACTGCATTTACATCACTCTTCCATTGCTCCCATGACGGCTCTGATGAGAAATTAGTGTAATCATTGCCATGCCCACAGTCAATGAAATCTCTGCACCTTTTTATTTGTGAATTATGACAGGCTTCGCGGAAACATTGATTCACCCTCTGAAGGAGGAACAAGAAAAATAAGGTCACGGCTAAGTCCCATACTTTGAATGTGTATTCTTAATGATACAATATAATTTCTGAATACCCACATATGATCACACTAGAATTACTCCATATGATAATTATGAAGTGCTTCATTAACATTTACTGGACCGGGTTCCCTGTATGCTTTCTCACATTATAATATTGTGTCCATGTTTATTCATGTCACAACTTTTTTTCCAACACAATATCTAGAAATACAGATGATCGAATGTCATGGATAACAAAAACATCAGTGTTCACATTATTCTATGAAGAATGAACCTTTTTTTTCTTCTTCAATGGGTTGCTCAATTTTTTCTTAAAAAAACATCTAAGAAGTTGCACTTGCATTGCAACCATAGGATTTTCCAAGAGCTTATGTAAACCTCAGGATAATAATGCCACAAAAAACTAAAATATCCAAATTATCTTCCTACCTGTAAGCCAAAAAGATACCAACATGATCCGACCACATGGCTGGACAACATAAATGTTAGAAAATTTATCACAAAGTTTGCCCATGCTGACTCAAATATGAAGCCGCTTGGGGACTGGCCTCTTAGCATAGGAAGAAACCGCCACAATCTAGGTATATATTGCACCAAAAATGCTGCTCGTAAAAAGTTTTTCGCATTATTCGCACCAGACGATCCCGTTGAACCAGGTAAAATCACCAGTATAATGATCTGTGGTGGAAATAGTAAAAGTCAATATCTCGTAAGCAAAACATTTTTAGCATAAAATTCAAGGAAAACAACATAAATTTTTAGTCAATATCTCGTAAGCAAAACATTTAAAACATAGAGCGGCTGTTTTGAGATGACCCTTGCTGAGCGTCTAAAATTGCATTGACTAACTACTACTTCACTATTAACAGAATCGTAGACAGTTTAAATATCCAACAACAACAACCCAGTTGAATCCCACTACAATAGGGTCTGGGGAGGGTGTGTGTACGCAGACCTTGCCCCTACTTGGAAGTAGGGAGGCTGTTTCCAAGAGACCCCCGGCTCCAAAGACAGTTTAAATATCCATTTTTCGTAATTCAAGAAGTACATATTTGCTAGTAAAACTCTACTAAATGAAAAGCCACAATCCTCCATTTTGTGTGGAGCAAGCATAAACACATTTAACTGACACCGCACTATGTAATAGAGAAGTATTATGTCATAGTGCATTTTGTTGGAAGTTCACATCAAAGAACTTGATTAAGCTAAAGCTAGTGATGTTATTTTACCTGAGGCAATGGCAATACAACAAAGAAATCGATCAAAAAATATCCTTTAAGATAATTGACAGCAATCTTTTTGGGATGATCAACTAAGTCACCCGCTCCCACAACCATGGACTCAGGAGCAATATAAGCCAAGCGAAACTGCAAAATTGGAGTTAGACATATATGGAGTATGCGAATAATTAGCATGATCAAACCAACAACATGTGTCGGATGCATGAAAACACAAACAATCATAAAAAACATGTTTCACAAACACAACTTGCAGAATTTATTTATGTGGAATAGTAGTGTTTTTTATGGGGATAAGATTTCACCCCCTAGAGACTCCGATGAAGTTGGGATTATAGGGTTGTTGTTCTTGTAATTGGAAGTAAAATTTCACACCACCAACCACAACTTGGTAGGGGTGAAGGAGTTGATTATGATGATAGATTATTTTGCAACTGGAACAAGGAAACTGCAAATACATATTACAACTACTTTAACCAAAAAAAACACTACAGCAGGTATTTCAAGTATAGAAGCCCCCACAATTTTTACTCATGAAAATTGCATGAAAGTTGAGGTTTTTGAAGCGGATTATGAGAACTACGAGATGGAATTTACTTCTATTCAACTTTGAGAGTGGCAGCTTATGAGTACCATAGTTGTAGAAGTTTGATTCTAAACATACTATAAAATATATGTACATTGCAATAGATAAAATTAAATATAAGTCCAGTGATACTTGCCCATGAACTAGGCTCAGAATAAAAACACAAAGCAAAAGCCCAGTAACTGAACTGAAGGTGGAATAATAAGTCTAAAAGGAGTCTTCGGTCTCAAGTAACCCACTAAGGGTGCAAAAGTGGTAAGACAAACAAAACTAACCCCATCTACATATGATATCCCATTATCTCACATATTCCTTAACCAATCACTGTAAGAGTTTAGTTAGAAGATACACCCCTTATAGTTCAACTAGGATCCTAAGAAATGCTCATCGCTTTAAGCCCCACATGCAATAAGTATATCATTCTATTAAAGTTTGCTGAATTCCTCGAGCAAGCATGCTTTTACCATTAACTTAAGAGTCGATTCGGAATGTCAGATCATAGAGAAGTGAATATGCACCTTTTTCCTACTCAGTAATGATCATTCATCTTCTTTATGGATTAAAAAGAATTCATTTTTCATGAACAGTAATCATCTGCCTCATATAGGATAGGGCAAGTCGGGCTTATAATCCTGAACTGTTGTCTGTTGGATGAAAGGATACATTACTTCTACCGAAAGAACCCTAACCCAGACAAGTAAATTCCAGTAAGAGTAATACCCACTCATGCAACAGAAAATGCTGTAAAGGGAAAAGAAACCAGGCAACTATAATTTAATAGCAAAGATGTCCAACAAATGCATCTCAGTACATGAAGGAAACAGTCACCTGAAGAAGCATATGCATTAAGTATATGAAATCAGTCAAACTCCTCCAAATCACAATTGTAGTTCTCATGGTCCAATTAAGCACTATGCATTTGTTATCCTATAACCAAAATGAGGAAAGTGAACCACCGTATTCAAAAGAAATCAGCTTAACAAATTAGACATTACAAAACCATGCTAAAGATAACTAAAAATGAGACTCCTGTCTAACTATTAATTCATTACTATAGTTTATTTCAAAACGGATATTTTTTTTGGTTAAAGATGGTACTTCAAAACATTCTGAACAACCAAAAGAAACACAGGTATTACAATCAGTCATTGAGCAAGATATGCTAATGTAAAAATGTGTGCATGCATAGTAATAGGGTGAAATCAAATCCCAAATAACCTTGCCAACTCTTTTGTTGGTATAAAATGATAAACATCGGGTTTTTTTGTGGGACCAAATATTCAACAATGATGAGTTTGGTTTCGTGCTTCCTATAGAATCTGTTTAAACATAAAAATCTTTCATGGGCCAACAACCATAAACTCGAGTTTTTGGTTGAGCTGGTTCCTTGACATGATATGAGAGCCTTGTTGACGAAGAACTCGCGAGTTTGAAAATCACCGCCACCAACATTAAAAGTTGTGTTTTCACGTGCAAGGCTCGAAGCTTGATCACGCTTGAACATGAGGGGCATGTTGGAATATAAAAATCTTTATTGGGTCTACAACCACAAGCTTGAGGGTTTGGTTGAGTTGGTTCCTTACAGAATCCATAAATTTACTCCAGCATCTCTAGTATTGTAAAAATCACAGCATAGATTAAATTTGGTGATTTTGTTAGATATGATTGAAATATATTGAAAGCAATGTTTATCAGTTTATACAATCCAATATGGAGTATTTCCAGCATCATTATCTTACTTTTAGGTTAACATCGACCGACTGCATAATATTATGTACTCCCTCTGTCCCAAATTAAGGTTCCACATTTGACCGGGCATTGTTATTAAGAAAGGTGAAATTGACTGGTTGAGAGGTATTCAAAGGAGAGAAGAATGATAAAGTGTAAACCATATAATCATTTCTTTAAAATGAAAGTCAAACCTTGTTTCGAGACAAGCAAAAAGGAAATGTTGAACCTTTTTTTCGGGACGGAGGGAGTTATACACTTAAAACCAAAGAACACTAAACCAGGGAAGAGGGCGAGATGTCTGCATACCTTACTTCTGTCGGCCGGAAATCAATTAATATTTATTTAGGACATAGTATTCACTGATACTGTATTGTAAAAAGAATTCATTGATTACAGGTAGACAGTGAACGGAAGCAGTACAATTTTAATTTTTATTTACAAAACCAAGCTAACATCGATTATTCTCGGGCTGCATATTATTTGTTTTTTTATAAAAGTATATGCGCAGACAGAGTAAGAAAATGATATAGGCAAGTAATTGACTTTAAGTGCAAGAGCAGTGGATCGATGACCTAAACTAAGTGAATACCTTATTGACAGTCAGCAAAAAAAAGAACAGTGGATCTATGAAAACTGCAAGTAAACATGAGATCATGAAGAACTTGTTCCACCGTTGCACAAGCTTAGTATGAGGGTTCATGACACCTGGAAGGCACGACCAAAAGAAAGAACAAGTTCTCTCTGCCCAACCTCTTGCTTCTCCGTAGAGCATATTATGGAACTGCATAGAGGCATATTAAATGCAAAGAATCAGGGCACTTAAGACAACTTGCCAGTTTGAGGCAAACTGGCAAGGTAAATAATAAGAGCAAAGAGGAGATATTGATGAACCATATTTAGCATAACTCCTTAGTGTTTATGATATACCCTTTACAAAATCTGGAACCAATTAATCTAGGAATGCATGTGAATGACATTTTAGCACAAACTTTGCATCTATAACATGCAGTGTATTGTCCTTTGAAAAGAACAACTAGCATGATGCATTCCTGACTAACTAGAATAACAAATGAGCAAGTGACACAATGTTTTTGAAAAGATTATGAGAAAAAGCATTCACCTATGTAAGTAAACATGTGATCATAAGGCAGAATACCTTGTGATCAAATATCTGTGAGGGTCTTGACCTTCTACCCTGTGCCTTTAAGATGCCAATTGGTGGGCATGTTGTGCAGTATGGGTCATTGCATACACCCAGTTGCCCCGACTTCATGAGATGTTCATTTTTCAGTTCATAGTCATAATCCTCCCAACCAATGGTTTCCCTTTTAGCAAAGGAAGGATATGTTTCCACTGTAGGCCCAGTTGAGTTGGGTTCTACTGCTACTTGTGATGGTCTGAGGTTGTTCATTGGTGTGTGACCAACATACAATGGGTCACTCCTCTCAGTCATCTGTACAAAAGAATTCTGCCTTTGATTTCTCAAGGGACCAGTAAATCCGACATGATTATTTTCACTATCGTATGACTCAGAGGAGTTAGCGGGAATAGAAAGTGATCTCCTAGCCCTGTAGGACAATCTACGAAAATAAGATGCATCCCTTTCATTATTTTGTGAATCAGTAGCTGATAACATTGGTACTACATCCCTTTCGTAAGCAGCCATGGGTGAAGTAGTTGGGCTGCAAATATATATGTCAAAAAAATAGTGAGTGTGACAAACTGACAAATTTCTTAAAGAAAATGCTCACGGGCGAGCTCACAAAGTGAATCATTCAAGCAACAATGCATGCCTATTGAATTTAACTTACTAAGAGGGTGTTTGGGAGTGATTAACTTATGGATAAAGTGATTTCTACAATAGCTGAAAGCAAAAGCACCTCATACCTGCTTCTCCAAAACGGTGTTCTATGTACAAAATAATGTTGGTGAAAAGCAGAAGCTGACATGCCAAACAGAGTAAAATTACTTCCACTCGAAGCAGAAGCTAAATTGTTAAAAGCAGCGCACTGCCAAACACCCTCTAAGTAGAACACAATTATTTGATGAGAACTAGCTTTTATTATATCAGGAAAATATAATTCAAAACCTAATACAATAACTCTTATATAAATCTCATATATCTCTCATATCAAACCCCAAAGCTTGGCTATGATATATATAGTGTTAACCCAACTTGATCAACAAGTAAACTAATTTATCCTAGGACCCATAATTCTATTCCTACTCGAACTAGAATATCTCGGGTTTTCCAAATCCTACTCGGTAATTAGCCAACATTCACCCCCCTAATTTCCGAGTTGGATTCCGGGTGATCTTCAACTCCAAGCATGTCTTCATTACCTTGATTCTCCTGAGGCTCTTCATGATCCCTTGTAGTGTTCTTTGGGCTCCACTTAGCTTGAACAAACACTTGCTTCTTGCGATGATTACACGTCCTTCCTTAAGCTAGAGTCTCTTTCTTGACATTTCCTTTAAAGTTTAAACTCTTGAGCATTCTTCTTTGGACTTTGAATTTTGGGTTTCTCCATGAAACTTGGATCTTTGAGAAGATTCTGACTCGTAATTCGCGTACCTTCTTTCAGTTGATCAACTCTTTGTAGATCCCTACTCGCAAAATTCTTCATTCCAATCATGCTAACTTGGGGAGTTACTTTCTTGATTAATTTAAAACCAATTTGATTAAATCTTCTTGTTTAATCAAAACACAACGGAAGTCTCTCGATTTATATAACCAAACTTGGTTAAATAAAGATCCTCGGGGGCTGGCTCTTAATCTGCTCGGCAAACTCACCCTGTGCTGCGCGCGATCATCTTACTCCATAGCGACAATTTTCTTTTAAATTTGTGTCCGTACACACCTTTGATGCTCTGATACCCATTATTGAATTTAACTTACTAAGTAGAACACAATTATTTGATGAAAATTGGCTTTTATTATATCAGGAAAATCTAATCTAAAACCTTATACAATAACTCTTATATAAATCTCATATAGCTCTCAGATCAAAACTCAAAGCTTGGCTATGATATATATAGTGTTTACCCAACTTGATCAACAAGTAAGCTAATTAATCCTAGGACCCATAATTCATTCCTACTCGAACTAGAATATCTCAGGTATTCTTAATCCTACTGAGTAATTAGCCAACAAATTCATCTTAAACACGACTAGAAAGCGGTATTCATAATTATAATCTCAGACTAAACAAGAATGCAATGTTAATAATCACTATAGGAAACTATAAACTTTGCACACTTAATCAGAAACCGTTAAACGTGGGTTACAAGTGTGAGTGCACATGAGTCTGGACCTCATCTTGTCACCTCCAGACCCTCACCAAATGCCCCAAATCGGAGAAAATGGGATTTTTTTTCCCACTAAAACAAAGCAAAAAATTAAAAAAAAAGAATCAATAAATAGAAGTTGGAAACATCTGTTGTGGTAGCCTATAAGGTTCATTCCACAGGCTCCAAATCATTGCTTAGCAAATTCTGACTACAACAGAAAAGATTCCAAACAAACGCTTATTAATCAATAAATTTCATTCCGCGCTAGTTCCCTGGAGAGGATTAAACTGGTCAATTTGTAAACTCAGGTAGCATGAACAGAGAATGGAGGAAGGAGGAGAACAACATAACCTGCTTTGATTTGCAGTAGAAATCGCGGATCGAGAACCTCCACTGTTGACTGATTGAAGAACACGGGGAATAATGAACGAGAATTCACCGGAAATCACAAACTAGCGGAGAGATTACCAGAAATGCATTCGCGCGATCAGAATCCGCCATTACAGCAGTTTGAAGAATCTTTTCAACGTTTTTTCTTTCTTTCCCCACGTGCTAACTGTTTCTTGACTGGCCGCCTTTCAGAGCCAGTCTTTCCTGATTCTAGCGGAGTTCTCTGAGAGCTTTTTAGGTAGTAGTAGCTTAGCTAGCTTGCTTTGCTGTTGAAAAAGGAGGTCCCTAAAGGAATCAGTCAAATTGGGTCCAGATGCGTACTGCCCGGTTCTACCCTCCCTTCCCATTCCGGCCTGCCACTACACAATAGAAATAGAAAAGTACCAAAATAGGACTTTCATGTTTTTTTTCCCGGAATAGGACTTTGTATTGTGGTAATGTGACTTTGCATTGTGGTAATGTGGCAGTATACATGTGCAAATTACTATACTTTCTTGGTAATGTATATGACCATGTTTGGTAATGTAAGTCCTATTTCGGGAATAAAAACATGGAAGTCCTATTTTAGTATATCTTCAATGTTATAGTCCTACTTTGGTTTTTCTCCCACTCCAGAACCAATTCCACAAAAAAAAATAGAATCCACATTTTATATGGAATACATGATTGTCTTATTTATACGGAGTACTTGTCCGAAATTACCGAGTATTAGCATTTTGAAAAAATTATCTAATGGTAGTTTTTATTTTTTAGTATGGTATTTTCGGAACTAAATAATGTTTCGGGTATATGGGAAAATAATGTTCTCATACAAAGTTACATGCGAGCTCTAATCTGGAAATTAAAATGACCATGAAAAATTAATTATCCGGATAGTTATTACGATTCATCATTTTTGTAGTCAAATTTGAATTGTTTTCTGTGTTGTGGGTTGTGCTAAATACACATTACATTTTGCTAGATCTTCTATTTATAAGAAATAGATAATTTTGCCTTCTCACTTCTTTTATTTTTTCCTTTTTTAAACATTAAGGATAATTTTGTCGAACTTCTTTCCTAACTTGAGTGATAGCAAGCCCACTTCTCAGGATTTATGAGAAGGTTCACCTATGTTCGAGCTCCAGCGGAAGCGAAACATTGGCTCTTTATGTGTCATTAGATTGAGAATAATATGAACAGATACTACCTTGTAATAGAGTTAATAATATTAAAAAAATGATAATTTTGTCTATTTGATATAAAGAGAGTAGATATAACCAAAAGAGAAATAAATTTAGCCATCACCTTATTTTTTGATACATCTTATCAACTAAAGATCATACAATAAATTTTCACCGATAATTATTATCTAAATCTCGATGTCAAACTTAACATTATTCTAGCATTACTCTATAAACCAATTGGGTCATGTCATTTATATACCAATCTACCAAATTAAGGCATGTTCTCTTCAGCTGATTTGAATGGTTATGATCAGATTGGAATAAGTTCTAAATTGGTCTGATCTGAATGTAGTTATATTTAAATTATTTTAAATCTGATTTGATTCCAATAAAAATAAGTAATAAGTAAAAAAATAAATTGAGTAAAACATGAACTAGCTAATACTCTATAACCAAATGAGAATACGTAGCATATAAAAAGGAAAAATTAACTCAATTCTGTAATTTATTATTGTTTTTAATCAAATTATTGGGAGTATAAGAATAGTGAAATGAGTGAATGAGATAAGCATTAAAAGTATGAGGAGAAGACTTCTCGTGGAGAAGTATGAGTACTGGAAGGAGAAGGAGGAGGAAAAGTCCTCCATAGGACTATAGGAGAGGAGGATTACTTATTCCTCGAGAAGAAGAGGAAATTGGAAGGGAAAGCCAACCCTGGCACGCCACACATTTGGAAGGGGTTTAGGGCGGGGTCGGGTGGGGAGTTTAGGGGTAGGTTAGAACTACGTGTAGGAACCATTAATTTTTTGAAGGTAACATCGGTGGTACTCTAAAAATGTACTGACACTGCTAATGGTACCGCTGGCTAGTGTCAACGGAACCGTGCCTTTTTTCTAATAGGAATGTTTTGATTTTTTAAACATGAATAGGTTTTGAAAATAAATTTGTGAAATGATTTTACATGGTTTTTATTTATTCCAAAAAGAAAATTTAATTTGTATCTACCCCTATATCTTTGAATTCTTTTTACACTTTTTTAGAATATCTAAAAGTTATTTATTTTTTAATACCATGATGATCGTTTGTATAGTCATTAATTAATTAATTCATCAATCTATCATACATCTAACATATAGTTTTTATTCTAGATTTATATACTATATGAAACAAAAAATAGATTAAATAATACATTGAAAGTGTAGAAGAAGATGATATATACATTGACTAAATATTGAAAAATATGAATGTTATTGTAAAAAAAATGATAACATTTATATAATCCGCGCTAGAAATGTATATGCCATGTTAAATGTTTTAGAAATTGTGCCAACATAAACTTCTATTTGTATATGTCCCAAAGTTTAACTATTCATCCTTTTTTTTTAGAAATTATACATATCCAAACGAAGTACTATGTTCTCTTCTAAGAGAATTAAGTAACTACTTTTAAATTTTAACATCTTTTCCATACTTATTAATCTCCGTGAAGACAAAACGAATAATTTGTATAAGACAAAGGGAATATTATTACTAAAATAATAATAGGATAAAACTATTTGTACCCCAAACTTTTGTGCCCCATTTTGTACACCGCAGGTTTACACCGACATTTTGTGTTGGTATAAAACTAATTTTTGTTAACGCACTAACACTTTGTATCGGTGTAAATTGTTGTTAACGCAACAACAATTGTGTCGGTGTAAACTATCAAAATGTTTGTGTATAACTGCGGTGTACAAATGGGGTACAATTTTTTATGTAAGTGTAGCATGACCCATAATAATAATAGTAGTAGACTTTTTAAAATCATATTTGTATAATGATTCGTAATCATTCTTACTTAATTTTACTTTTGAACATCAATATTTACGGTACCAACTTAATTTTTTTAACTTTCATGTCATTCCCGTATGTCCCAAAAATAGTGGGCTAGAGAGAATACTATTTTAATCCACTATTTTAATAACATATACTTTGTATGATATTATTATTCTCTCCGTCTCAAAATAAGGCTTCTACAAAGTTTTCAATGTTTGAAGATGTTAGAGGCAGAAGAAGGAAACAAGATTGAAGAAGGAAAGTGTTAGAGACAAGAAGGAAGCATGATTGAAGAAGGAAACCGAATCCTTTTGGGATTAGGTTTAGTATCTTTCCTAGTTGAATTAGATTTAATATTTAGTATTTTTCCTAGTTTGTTTAATTCTTATTTTAGTAGGAATAGAAATTTTCTTGTTAACTTTACCCTCTTCCTATATAAAGAGGGTTAGATCTTTGTATTCAAAAAAAAGTTTCAGAAGCCAATTCAATATACAGAGAATTTTTCTCCCAAATAATTCTTTCATGGTATCGGTGCCCACCGGCGGGATATTGTGATTTATTTATTTTTTATTTATTGTCCTCCCTCATTCTTGAAGAAGTGGTCGAACAAGGGTTGTTCTACGGAGACAAAAAACTCTTTCCGCATCTTCTATTCCCGATCGACCGACATCGCGTCCATCAATCTTCGCCTGTTGTTGCTGCTGAAGTGCCGGAACGGTCGACCGTTGCTGAAGAACGATCGAGTGGGTCGACCGTCCCGACGGAAGTTTCTCTTGATCGCGGTTACTGTTCACGATCGCCCAGCATCGCGTCCATCGGTCGTTGCTCAGTTTCTGTGGTTTGGAGCAGTTCCCAATTTGTACGTGTAGGAATTGCACGTGGGACCTGCTCGAGAAGCTAGCGCTGATGCGCGAAGCGAGAGAACGTTTCTTTCAGGTTTGGAGCAGTTCCCAATTTGTACGTGTAGGAATTGCACGTGGGACCTGCCGGAGAAGCTTGCATAGATGCGCGAACCGAGGGAACATTTTTTTCATTTATGTCCAAGCTGGGCATGTTGAACTCACATGCTCCAGCTTAAGGGGGGAGTGTTAGAGACAAAAGAAGGAAACAAGATTGAAGAAGAAAGTGTTAGAGACAGAAGAAGGAAGCATGATTGAAGAAGGAAACCGAATCTCTTTGGGATTAGGTTTAATATCTTTCCTAGTTGAATTAGGTTTAATATTTAGTATCTTTCCTAGTTTGTTTAATTCTTATTTTAATAGGAATAGAAATTTCCTTGTTAACTTTACCATCTTCCTATATAAAGAGGGTTAGATCTTTGTATTCAAAAAAAGTTTCAGAAGCCAATTCAATATACAGAGAATTTTTCTCCCAAATAATTCTTTCAGAAGAAAGTTATTTTCAAACCATTATAAATAAAAATTGATGTAGAATTTAAAAAATTTATATATTGATCGAAAAATACATCACAAGCTTTATAAAAAAGTGATGATAATATTATTTTATTTTATCAAATGATTGATGAAAATGGATAAAAAAGTGAGGTTAATTTAACATGTGAATAGTAACAGTGATTTTTTAGGACGGAGGGAGTATTATTTAATTGTATAAAATAATAAAATAGTAGGAAGTAATTATTATTTAGTTACATACAACATTAAATAACATAACATACTTTAATTGTATAATAATTACTTCATCCTTCCCAAATTAAAACGTCTATTTCAGTTTACAATGTTTAACTGAAATTATTTTTAATTCAATTTATTTTCTAATAGGGGTAGAATTAAAAAATAAAATATATTTAAAAACTAAACTAAAATCTCTATGAAACAAGATGTGACATCACTATATTATTTTATCAAATAAATAGCGGAAAAAAGTAAAAAAAAATAATATGAATAAAGTTTCACCATTTGAATAAAAATGCAATTTAATTTGAAATGAATAGAGTATTATTTAACCACACACAAAATATTAAAACTATTTTTCTGCATTTCTAGACTCAATAATCTGATGTGATTGTATCTACTTAGATTTGATTTGGTCTCATCCAATATTCATTAGAATAAGTAATAACAAAAAAAAGTTACGAAACGTAATCTTACTCGCCAGTTGTTTTTAAGTTCGTATTTTACCAAACTTGGATACTCAAAAAGTTTATTTAACTAATCAGTGTTTGTATATAAAACTCTGAATTAACTCCCAATATATGTAACAAACAAAAAGTTGTTATTATAGAAATCATCC